GGCCTGTGGGCACCGCCCTGCAGGGGCCGCTCCAGCTCACGGGGGGGTGGGGAGGGTCACAGTTGGGGTCTTCAGGTCGCGCCGACCACGCGCAATCTCTGCGCTCTGCGCAGGGGCTCGCCCACCCTCTCCCCGTGCAGGGAGTCCCCAGCAGGCTCCCCGCAGGGCTGTCCAGGTGAGCCTGGCTCTGGCCGCGGGCCAGTGTGACTGGCGGGCAAGCCCCGAGGCCACCTCGGCTCAGAGCCCACGGCCGGCTCTCGCCCAGCTCCAGACTTCTGCGGGGGTTCCATTCCGCTTGGGCCGGCGCCCCGCACGCCGCGCCCTGGCCCCGCCCCTCCCTCACCCCGCCCCCTCTGCACCCCACCCCTCCCTGGCCCCGCCCTCCGCGCCCCACCTCTCACCTTCCCGCCCCGCCCCCCATCCACGCCCCTCACGGTCAGCCCCCTCCCCTATCCGCCCCGCCTCTCATCGTCTCGCCTCGCTCCGCCCCTCAGCCGTCCCGCCCCTCAGCCGCCCTGCCTAACGTCCCCGCCCCCAGCCTCGCCCCGCTCCGCCCCAGCCTCGCCTCGCCCCGCCCCGCCTCTCAGGCGCCCTGCTTGCTGTGCCCCGCCCCCGCCTCGCTACGCCCCTCGTTACCATGTAGCCCCGCCCCGTCCCCTCCGCTTCCCGCCTCGCCCTGCCCCTTCACAGCTTCGCCCCACCCCATTACAGTCTCGCCACGCCCCGTCCCCTCTCCGTTGAGCCCCGCTCCTTCGCCCAGGTGGGGCGCTGCGCTGTCAGAGGCCTTGGTGGCTCTGTGAGGGAGAACATGCGGGCGCGGGGACTGGCTGGCTCCCTGGCCAGTCATTGGCAGAGTCCGCAGGCTAGGGCTGTCAATCATGCTGGCCGGCGTGGCCCCGCCTCCGCCGGCGCAGCGTCTTGAGACGCAAGGCGCCGCGGGGGCTGCCGGGACGGGTCCAAGATGGACGGCCACCTCGGTTCCGCTTTTACCCGCGGCCCAGAGCCCCATTCATTGCCCCGGTGCTGAGCGGGGCTGCGAGTCGGCCCGAGGCCTCCGGGGACTGCCCAGCCGGGCGGGCGACCGCCATGGCGACCCTGGAAAAGCTGATGAAGGCCTTCGAGTCTCTCAAGTCCTTCCAGCAGCAGCAGCAGCAGCAGCAGCAACAGCCGCCGCCGCCGCCGCCGCCGCCGCCGCCGCCGCCGCCGCCTCCTCAGCTTCCTCAGCCGCCACAGGCACAGCCGATGCTGCCTCAGCCGCAGCCGCCCCCGCCGCCGCCCCCGCCGCCACCTGGCCCGGCTGTGGCTGAGGAGCCGCTGCACCGACCGTGAGTTTGGGCCCGCTGCAGCTCCCTGTCCCGGCGGGTCCCAGCCTACGGCGGGGATGGCGGAACCCTGCAGCCTGCGGGCCGGCGACACTAACCCCCGGCCCCGCAGCGACAGAGTGACCCAGCAACCCAGAGCCCATGAGGGACACCCGCCCCCTCCTGCGGCGAGACCTTCCCCCACTTCAGCCCCGGTCCCGCATTTGGGTCTTGTCCTCCCGCGAGGGGAGGCAGAGCCTCGTTGGGACCTGTCCTGAATTCACCGAGGGGAGTCACGGCCTCAGCCCTCTCGCCCTTCCCGGGATGCGAAGAGTTGGGGCGAAAACTTGTTTCTTTTTATTTGCGAGAAACTGGGGTGGGGGTTTAACTGTGTTGTGAAGAGAACTTGGAAGAGCCGAGATTTGCTCAGGGCCACTTCCCTCATCTAGTCTGAGAGGGAAGAGGGCTGGGGGCGCGGGACACCTCGAGAGGAGGCGGGGTTTGGAGCTGGAGAGATGTGGGGGCAGTGGATGACATAATGCTTTTGGGACGCCTCGGCGGGAGTGGCTGGGGTGGGGGGCGGGGAGTGAGGGCGCGTCCAATGGGAGATTTATTTTCCAAGTGGCACTTAAAACAGCCTGAGATTTGAGGCTCTTCCTACATTCTCAGGGCATTTCATTTAGTTCCTGATCGCGGTGGTAGTAACACGATTTTAAGCACCACCTAAGAGACCTGCTCATCTAAGCGCAAGTTGGTGTGCAGGCATTTGAATGAGTTGTGGTTGCCAAATAAGTGGTGAACTTACGTGGTATTAATAAAATTATCTTAAATATTAGGAAGAGTCGATTGAAGTTTATTGCCTATTTGTGTTGGGAATAAAACTAACACGTTGCTGAGGGGGAGGTTAATTGCCGAGGGATGAATGAGGTATATACATTTTACCAGTATTGCAGTCAGGCTTGCCAGAATATGGGAGGTCTGCAGACTCCGTGGACATCTCAGATGTGCCAGTGAAAGGGTTTCTGTTTGCCTCATTGCTGACAGCTTGTTACTTTTTGGAAGCTAGAGGTCTCTGTTGCTTGTTCTTGGGGAGAATTTTTGAAACAGAAAAAGAGACCATTAAACCATCTAGCGGAACCCCAGGACGTGGGAGTGTGTGCTGAGTGTTTAGCAGGAATTAGGAAGTACTCCGCTGCAGTTCAGGCCTTTCTCTTACCTCTCAGTGTTCCGTTTCCGATCTGGATGTGTATCAGATGGCATTTGATAAGAATATCTCTATTAAGACTGATTGATTTTTAGTAATATTTCTTGTTCTTTGTTTCTGTTATGATCCTATTAGAAGAGGAGGATTTGGAGAGCGGTGTTAGCTTATTTGTTAGAATAAAATTTAGGAATAAATTCTTCTAAAGGATGGAAAAACTTTTTGGATATTTAGAGAAATTTTTAAACAATTTGGCTTATCTCTTCAGTCAGTAATTTCTCATCTTTCCAGAAATTTACTGTAGTGCCTTTCTAGGAGGTAGGTGTCATAGAAGGTCACACATTGCATGTATCTTGTGTAAACACTAAACTGGGCTCCTGATGGAAAGGAAGACCTTTCTGCTGGGCTGCTTCAGACACTTGATCATTCTGAAAATATGCCATCTCTTTCCTATGCTGATTTGATAGAACCTGCGTTTGCTTATCTTCAAAATATGGGTATCAAGAAATTTCCTTTGCTGTCTTTACAAAGGAGATAGATTTAGTTTCATTACTTTATTTTAAGGTAATATATGATTACCTTATTTTAAAAATTTAATCAGGCCTGGCAAGGTGGGTCATGCCTTTAATCCGAGCACTTTGGGAGGCTTAGGCGGATGAATCATCTGAGGTCAGGAGTTTGAGACCAGTCTGGCTAACATGGTGAAACCCCATCTCTACTAAAAATGCAAAAATTAGTTGGTCATGGTGGCACATGCCTGTAATGCCAGCTGCCTGGGAGGCTGAGGCAGGAAAATCGCTGGAACCCGGGAGGCAGAGGCTGCAGTGAGCTGAGACTGCGCCACTGCACTCCAGCCTGGGTGACAGAGCGAGACTCTGTCTCAAAAAAAAAAAAAAAAAAAAAAAAAAAAAATTATTATTTTTGCATAAGTAATACATTGACATGACACAAATCCCGTAATTACAAAAGGGCAATAATTAAAATATCTTCCTTCCACCCCTTTCATCTGAGTACCTAACTTTGTCCCCAAGAACAAGCACTATTACAGTTCCTCATGTATCCTGCCGGATATAATCTATGCATATTGTAAAATAGATTTAAAATACTGTAAAAACAAAAGTAGTTTACAGTAGTAATTTTTTTTCTTTATTTTTTTTGAGATGTAGTCTCACATTGTCACCCAGGCTGGAGTGCAGTGGTATGATCTTGGCTCACTGCAACCTCCACCTCCCAGGTTCAAACGATTCTCCTGCCTCAGCCTCCAGAGTAGCTGGGATTACAGGTGCCCACCACCATGTCCAGCTAATTTTTGTATTTTTAGTAGAGATGGGGTTTCACCATGTTGGCCAGGCTAGTCTTGAACTCCTGACCTTGTAATCCATCCACCTCGGCCTCCCAAAGTGCTGGGATTACAGGTGTGAGCCACTGCCCCTGGCTAGAATAATAACTTTTAAAGGTTCTTAGCATTCTCCGAAATCAACTGCATTAGGTTTATTTATACTTATTTTAAATAACATGCATATTTGTCATATTTGTATGTATTTTGCTGTTGAGAAAGGAGGTATTCACTAATTTTGAGTAACAAACACTGCTCACAAAGTTTGGATTTTGGCATTTCTGTTCATGTGCTTCAGCCAAAAAATCCTCTTCTCAAAGTAAGATTGACTAAAGCAATTTAGAAAGTATCTGTTCTGTTTTTATGGCTCTTGCTCCTTTGTGTGGAACTGTGGTGTTGCGCCGTGCATGGGCTTCAGTCTAAGTATGAGTGTGTGTGCTCTGCTCAGCATACAGGATGTGGGAGTTCCGTGTGGGGCTGGCCACAGTCTCAGCAAATCTAGCATGCGTGGGAGGGTCCTCACAGTAATTAGGAGGCAATTGATACTTGCTTCTGGCACTTTCTTGTTCTCCTTCAGATTCCTATCTGGTGTTTCCCTGACTTGATTCATTCATCAGTAAATATTTACTAAACATGTACTATGTACCTGGCACTGTTCTAGATGCAGGGCTCAGCAGTGAGCAGACAAAGCTGTGCCCTCATGAAGCTTTCATTCTAATGAAGGACATAGACAATAAGCAAGATAGATAAGTAAAATATACAGTATGTTAATAAGTGGAGGAATGTCAAAGCAGGGAAGGGGATAGGGAAATGTCAGGGTTAATCAAGTGTTAACTTATTTTTATTAAAAAAAAATTTTTTTAAGGGCTTTCCAGCAAAACCCAGAAAGCCTGCTGGACAACTTGCAAAAAAGCTGTAGCACTAAGTGTTGACATTTTTATTTTATTTTATTTTGTTTTGTTTTGTTTTGTTTTTTGAGGCAGTCTTGCTTTGTCAGCCAGGCTGCAGTGCACTGGTGTGATCTTGGCTCACTGCAACCTCTGCCTCTTGGGTTCAAGCGATTCTTATGCCTCAGCCTCCTGATTAGCTGGGATTATAGACATGCACCCTCACGCCTGGGTAATTTTTTTTTTTTCCCCCTGAGACAGAGTCTTGCTCTGTCACCCAGGCTAGAGTGCAGTGGCACAATCTTGGCTCACTGCAAGCTCCGCCTCCCAGGTTCATGCCATTCTCCTGCCTCAGCCTCCCAAGTAGCTGGGACTACAGGCGCCTGCCACCACGCCCAGCTAATTTTTTGTATTTTTAGTAGAGATGGGGTTTCACTGTGTCAACCAGGATGGTCTTGATCTCCTGACCTCGTGATCCGCCCACCTCGGCCTCCCAAAGTGCTGGGATTACAGGCGTGAGCTACCGCGCCTGGCCTGTAATTTTTTTTTTTTTTTTGAGACGGAGTCTTGCTTTGTTGCTAGGCTGGACTGCAGTGGTGCGATCTCGGCACACTGCAACCTCCGCCTCCCGGGTTCAAGCGATTCTTCTGCCTCAGCTTCCCAAGTAGCTGGGACTACAGGCACGTGCCACCACGCTTGGCTAATTTTTGTATATTTAGTGGAAACGGGGTTTCACCATGTTGGCCAAGATGGTCTTGATCTCTTGACCTCGTGATCCGCCTGCCTCGGCCTCCCAAAGTGCTGGGATTACAGGTGTGAGCCACTGCGCCTGGCCACGCCTGGGTAATTTTTGTATTTTTAGTAGAGACGGGATTTCACCATGATGGCCAGACTGGTCTCGAACTCCCAGCCTCATGTGATCTGCCTGCTTAGGCCTCCCAAAGTGCTAGGATTACAGGCATGAGCCACCATGCCTGGCCAGTATTGATATTTTATTTTATTTTATTTTATTTTATTTTATTTTATTTTTTGAGACAGAGTCTGGCTCTGTCGCCCAGGCTGGAGTGCAGTGGCCTGATCTCAGCTCACTGCAAGCTCCGCCTCCCGGGTTTATGCCATTCTTCTGCCTCAGCCTCCCAAGTAGCTGGGACTACAGGCGCCCGCCACCTCGCCCGGCTAGTTTTTTTGTATTTTTTAGTAGAGACGGGGTTTCACCGTGTTAGCCAGGATGGTCTCGATCTCCTGACCTTGTGATCCGCCCGTCTCGGCCTCCCAAAGTGCTGGGATTACAGGCTTGAGCCACCGAGCCCGGCCAATATTGATATTTTAAATAGGGTGTTCAGGGAAGGTCCACTGAGGTGACAGCTGTTTTTTTGGGGGGAGTGGTGGGACAGGGTCTTACTGTTTAACCCAGGCTGGAATGCAGCATCACAATCGTAGCTTACTGCAGCCTTGAACTCCTGGGCTCAAGTGATCCTCCCACCTTGACCTCACAACGTGTTGGGACTGTAGGTGTGAGTCACCATGCCTGGCCAGATGATGGCTTTGAGTAAAGACCTCAGGCGAGTTAAGAGTCTAGCGTAAAGGTGTATGGAGTAGG